ATCAAAAAGAATAAACAAAAACGACAGGCATGTGCATTAAGTAAACAAAAGAAAAAAAAAAAAAAAAAATTATAATAAAAAAAATCATTTGTTATTTAACATTACATTTAGTACCCACAGCAAAGAAAAGGAAAAAAAATAAACATACAAAAAAAAAAAAATAACAAACAATAATCGGGAATAAACTTATACCGGAACGTGTGTATGTTTAATAGCTTAAGAAGTTGCGTTTATTTATTAATTTAATCACTACGAAGAATATTCATTCATTAAAACACACACACACACATTGTGTGCTTAGTTTTTATCATAGGCGACGGTTATTATAAAATTACCTCAGGTGAAATTCTTTTGGTGAAAAGAAAAGTAAACGATATTAAAAAGTGCGACAGCGCATCTGATCGTTTTTAATTAAATATAAAGGCAATAAAACTACAGTGTAAAGGGGCAGATTTCGTTTTTCTTGTTTTTCTTCTCTGTGGGTTTACCCGCTTTCGTGGTTAATTGGGGGTCGTTCAGTGGCACTCAAGTAAATAAACAAAAGAAAATGAGCAAACCACAGAAGGACATTGTCAACAATTGCTGCTATAAAGCAACCCTGCGCATTTGCAGAAATATTTTAGAATATCAAGCAATAGCACAGACTTACTCCTTGTTTTCAAGGACTAACATGGAGTAGCATAGGTGAGGGCGACATTAAATAAATACGTAGTATTGGTCAAACATCCACCGTCTCAGGGACGCCAAGGAAGAAGGAGTAACAATGAATCAAACACGAAAATCATGCCGGCCAAATCCGGAAATTAAGGGACACCTCAAGGCGCACAAGTGGCCATGCGAGAAAGTCCGGAAGTGATACCCGATCCGTTCAAGAGGAGTATTCGAATCCAGCACTCACCTGAGCAACTGGGCGGGAATCGTACACAAAAGAGAAGTTATTCGTCACCGCCGGTTCTTCAAGAGAAACCACTGACGATAAGGAAAGGTGAAAACTCATTTGTCAAGCTGGGAGAGAAAATTGGAGAACTCATCGAAATGATGATGAATGCTCAGAGATTCCACTATCCAGACGGAAAAGAGAACCAGAGCAAATGCTACGAAAAGACTTAGAGAAGAAGGATCCGCGGGTGCTACTCCTGCGAAAAAAAGTAGACAGACGGGCGATGTGATAGATTCCAATAAGGAAGCGCCAAAACATCCAAAATACGCCAATGAAAAGTGGACCGTGGTCCAAGCGAAAAATAGAAAGGTCAAGACAATCAAATTGGTGAAAAAGCCGGATGGGATTGTAATTAAGCAAATGGGCACTAGGACTTGCAGCGATATTCTGAAAAGAGTAAAAAATGATGCGGAGTTACAAAAAGTCGGCGAAATTGTGACTAGAATACAGAAAACAGTGAAAGGAGAAATACTGCTGGAATTTAAGCAAAGCGCGAAAGAAGAAAACATTGCTTACTGCTTACCAACATTTGGTGGAAAAAGCGCTCGGCCAGCAGGTTAATGCCAAACTAATGATTAAGCAAACAAAGCTCAAGTTTAGGGACCTAGATGAAGTGACTTCGGCGGATGACTTAATAGTAGCCGTAAATACGAGGTTCAACAGCTTGAATATCAAGAAGGAAGCAGTCATGTCAATCAGGAATGCATATGCCGGCACACAAACAGCAACTCTATCAGTCCCAACAGAAAGTGCTAAAGAGTTACTTAAAACCGGGAAAATCAAAGTTGGTTGGGTAGTAAGCGGGATCAAAGAAAAGTACGCAGTACTGAAATGCTATAGATGCTTCGAAGGAAGCCACATCACTAGGAACTGCAAAGAAAAACAAGATAGAAGCAAGTGCTGTCTAAAATGCAGCGAAGAAGGTCACCGAACAAAGATTGTACTAAGAGTCCGTGTTGTGGGATTTGCCAAGAACAAGGCAGAAATTGGCCGGTAAACACACGCGGCACTAACAGTAATAGACAGCTATGAAGTGTATGCAAATAAACATAAATCATTGCCGGGCTGCACAAGAAGTACTTAAATAAAACGCCCGAGAACTTTCAATTGACCTTGTAGTGCTGAGTGAGCCGTATAAGGTAGGCTCCGGAAACAGGTGGACGAAGAATAAGACTGGTACTGAAGCCTTTTATCAATGCGGCTCGCATCCGCCAAAAATGAGATTTATCTCAGCAGGGGAGGGCTACGTTTATGTTAAATATAAAGCGGCTTATCTTTACAGCTGCTATTTCCCGGCAAGTAAAAACCAAACGGACTTCGAAAAGCGAATAGGTGAGCTATGTAGCGGCGCAAGGGGGAAAATACCGATAATTTTCCCCAGTGATTTTAAAGTCTGGGTGACTGATTGCGGTAACAAGTGGACGAACGCTACGGGCAGAATAGTGCTTGAATCCTTAGCCTCACTAGATATGGCAAATCTAAACGCAGGTGATAAAAATACGTTCAACAGAGACGGTCGCGACCCCGCGATCGATATTACCAAGGCCAGCAGTGCATTGGCCTTGCGTATAGAATCGGGTATTAGCAAGATATATACCCAAACTGACCACGTAGCAATAATCTAGGAACTACAGCAGAGCCAGTGGGCGAATAGGGTAAGACTTCCTCCCACGGATCCCAAATGGAAACCAGAATTTCTAGACAAAGAACTCTTCGAGCATATGTTGGAAGAAGCAGAACCCAGAAACTCGGTACAGCCTTCCAGTATGGAGGTTATAGCACGGATTATAAAAGCCTGTGAGAGTTCAATGACAAGAGGTTGCTTCTATAAAAGCAAGGAGCCAGTATACTGGTGGACAGACGAGACAGCCGAACTAAGTGCTCAATGTAACAGAGCGAGGCGTGTCTACCACAGATCAAGGGGGACTAGTGCTTATCTAAGAATTCAAACTCAGGCGAAGGCTTTTTAAAAAAGCGATAATGGTCAGCAAGAAAAACTGTTTCTAGAAACTGATTAATGAGATAAGTGAGGACCCATGGATTATGACGTATAAGTTGGCAATGAACAAGTTCAAATATTCAGACCAACTAAGCTGCGCAGAATTTGTGAAAGAAATAATCGGCATCCTGTTTCTCCAGAAAGGCATGTTTGTATATGTGTCACTGATTGAGGTGAGAGATGATCTTATTTTCACCGGGACTGAAGAGATTGTTGCCATTGCAAGGGAAATTAAAGGCCAGAAAGCGCCGCGTCCTGATGGCATCCCAAACTGCGCTATTAAGCAAGCCATGTTGGCAAGGCCAGCTATGTTTGTGAGCACATTCAACGCTGGTTTGAAAGCACAAATTTTGCCAGATAAGTGGAAACAACAAACGCTGGTGTTGCTGTCAAAGCCAAAGAAGGCATCGCATGAAGCAAACGCATATCGCTCTATTTGTCGATTGCATACGACAGACAAAGTGTATGAGAAGATCATTCGAAATCGTTTAGAAGAATCACAGCAGAGATCTAAAAGGCTGTCGGACTTCCAATTTGGCTTCAGGAAAAAAAAGCCCAATGGAAGCAATAAAGGTGATTACGAATATTGCAGCAGAAGCGATAAAAGGAACACGCTGGATGAAAGGCGACAAAAATTATTGCTTAGTAATAGCATTAGACATTGAAAATGCATTCAACTTAGCAAACTGCTATTGTGTCATAGCCGCCCTACAGGAAAGAAGAGTCCCACCGCATCTTATAAATATAGTGGCTAGTTATTATACTGGCAGGAATCTTCGATACGTTACGGATAAAGAGTGTACAGAAAGGCTGATCACTGGAGATGTGCTTCAGGGATCAGTCCGAGGCCTTACCACTACAGCGAATAAAACCGCCGACATGATTAAGAGGTGGCTGCGGTGAATGGATTTGGATCTAGAGAAAGAAAAAACAGAAACGGTATTAATATCCTCTAGGAAGAAGATTGAGAAAGTGACTATCCAAGTGGGAGATACGAGGATACAGTCACAAGAAGCCATAATAAACCTAGGAGTGATGATCGACTGCAGACTTTCGTTTAAACGGCATCTCCACTACACGAGCGAAAAGGCAGCGAAGGTAGCAAAGTCGCTGGCGCGCTTACTGCCAAACTTACGGGGCCGTAGGCAAGACCGTAGAAAGCTGATCGCAGAAGTGGTAATTGCGGCAATAATGTAGGGTTCTTCGGTGTGGAAAAAGACCCTTGCTATACCGTCATGCACGGGAGACATCGAATCAGCATACAGCCTATACGCTCTAAGGGTGTGCACCGCATATCGGACGGTGTCGGAAGAAGCGGCCTTGGTTATCGCTTGTATTATACCAATCGACTTGCGAGCTAAAGAAGGTATGTATAAGGCTGAATTCTACAGATTGTCGGCTGAAGCGGCTAAGCAGCGAGAAAAACAGCGATTGGTGGAAGATTGGCAGGAGCGCTGGAGCAGAGCGAGTAAGGGTAGGTGGACGCACGGGCTCATACCAGATTTGCGGCCCTGGGTGAATAGGCAACATGGTGAGGTTGACTTTTATTTGACACAGCTAATTAGCGAGCATGGTTGCTATAGATTATAGGTTTAAAATAGACTAATTCTAACTAATTCTGTAGTTCTTGTGAGTGCATCAAACACGCTGAACATGTTTTCTTTGTCTGTCCGAAATACCATCACGAAAGACAGAGACTGCAGACGGAAATTAGAGTGTTGCCTCTCCCCGACAATCTTGTAACAAATATGTTGCACGACCTGAAAATATGGAAGGCGATAGAAGTGTTCGCCGCAAACGTTGTGAGAAAATAAACACGCGAAGGGCGCCAACGTAGGCTTTTAAGTAGTGCCTAAACGGTCACCTTCTCTGTGAAGGTATACGTAAACCACAGGGTAGGGAATAGGAGAGATGCTTTTCGGCGGGTTAAAGTCTCGCAGTGCCCTGTTGGGGTTCTGTTGATGGTTTTCCACCTTACAAACACAAACACACACACACACGCACACATAATAAGTACATAAATATTTCATACATTGTCATAAGCAAATGTTTGCCACTTACCGTTATTATTAGTGATAGCGAATCGTTGCTGTAATTGCTGTGCCAATGCCTGATGATGTTGAGCCAATGGTGTTAAAGGTGGAGGCTGTACGCCTAACTGATGTGGTGCTGATTGAGAATGTGGTACACAACCGCTACTGGTGCTGCTACCGCCACCAGAACCACCAGTTGTAGTTACAACGGTGTCCGTTGTATTAGCGGAAATACCGTTATTATTATTATTGTTATTATTGTTGTTACTATTATTATTATTATTATTATTACTATTGTGATTACTATTGCTGTTACTATTGTTATTGTTATTAATATTTGACGTATTACCACCAGCGTGTGTACCAGTAATTGATGTCGATGTTGTGGATATTGAGGTAATATTACTGCCTCCTACAATGTTTGTACCATTAAGCATGGAATTCAATTGGAATTGTTGTATAGACATAGAGCTGTTAACATGTGTTTGTTGTTGTGATTGTTGTTGTTGCTGTTGCTGCTGTTGATGGTGGTGCTGTTGCTGTAATTGTGAATTTTGTTGTTGCTGCTGTTGCTGATGATGACTACTAATACTAGTATTGCCACTGCCGGCTGTAGTGGTAATAATGGAATTGTTTTGGACGGCTGATGATAAAATCGAACCGTTGGCATTGTTGCTACTACTGGTACTATTCAGATTATTGGCATTGGAATTATTATAATACGAATCTTCACCTGTTTTTAAGAATAAAATTTAATAAAATTATCTAATAAACACAACAATAATAAAAGAATATAAAAAATATAAATAAGAAACTAAATAATTAAAACTTTTGAAATATATAAAATCAAACATTCCAAAAAAAGAAAAAGTGATGACTGCTTTAGATCTACTTCACATGTAAGAAAACGCGCTACGTCATCTAAATTTTAAGAATATAATGTTAAGCTTACTTTTGGAAATCTTAATCACTTTACTCAGTACTATTATTTCTTTTACTTATCAAGATGTGATGAGATATATTTTTTAGATATTCAAGCTCATTATGCCTTAAGGTTCTCAGTTACCAGGACAGCATAGTGACACTAATGCAAGATTCATTGCCTTCTCTTTGCATTAATTTGTGCATTGATGACAGTTATCGCTTATCACTATTATTAGTATTTATTTTGAACCTCTAAAGCATGGCACTTACTTAATATAATATCAAGAATAAAGCTACAAACATTTTCTATGAAAATTAGTCAATTTTACGGATAAATTTGTTAAAACGCCGCGATCGCAAAAATGAAGATAAAAAGCTGAAATTCGGCATAAACATTCCGTAATAAATTGAAAATCTAAAGCTAGGAAAACAGGTATGATCTGTCCACATGCGCTCCTAAGCCGCAGAGGAAACTGAAGCAAACTCGTAAAACCTTCAAAATTTTTCCAAATTGTCGTCTATAACTGTCGATGCAGTGAAGATATTTCCTAAAGACTTTTACGCAGATATTTGTCAGAACCACTTGCACTTTCAGTCCAAATATGGTTTCGATCGATTTACTATTACGTCGACAGTTAACAGTTAAATGAGTGAGTCAACATATATGGATCACGTTTTCGGAGGACTGAACAAAGTTTTATACAATGACATTTTTTGTAGCTTCTAACACCCTTTACGTGAATACTTATAATAATACCAACTTACCAAACACCATGTGTGTTTGGATTTCTTATAACTTTTCTTGTTTTTTTTTTTTTAACAACTATAATTATAATTACAACATATATGTTTTAGATATTCTGCTTATACTAGTCAAACGTTCCCTAAAGAATTTCATTACTAGGTACTCCAGAAATCGCAGATGTTAACGCGTTGTGTTATATGCATTTCTTTTAAAGCATGTGGAATGCAAATTTACAACTTTTTCACAAATTCCAGTGCTTTTGTGCGCTCACTAACAGCTGTTTTGGGTGAATTAAACTTTTCTGTGCCGATCAGCTGCAATCATAACCTTTATTTGTTTATCGTATCGGTATTTGATCTACCAAGACACGGTCAACTTTCATTAAAAAATTTCCGCAACGAATTTCGCAAACCAATGTTGGCAAGTGCATTCCGTTACAGCATTAATTCGATACACAGTACACATTTTTCCTACTACTATAACACAACTGATCACTTTGAAAGTTTTCTATAAAATAAACATAGGCCTGCTCTATATAACCTATATATCTATCTGATTGTCTGTCTAGCTACCTTAAGAAGTTATTTTAACCTGATTTTTAAAAAAACAACAAGAAATTTCCAAACTACTTTATACATACGCATTTCCAATAGTTATCGAATTGATAAAATTTTAATTCTAATTTATTTCAAATTTCTTTTAATTAGGTGAAGAATATAGTAGTGGTAACAAAGATAGTGGTAGCATATGCTTTCTAGCAACGCAAACTTAAAAAGTCCCTTATAGAAGAGTAAAAAGGAATGGCGCAGAATGTAAAAATGGCAAATTCTATTTGTTAGATATGTAGCTCGTCATTATATATGTAATAAGAAAACACACGAATTGGGAACATTAGGGAGTATAAAGTGATAGTATCAAAAAGTCATTTAACGAAAATAAAACGTGATATACATGCAAAGTCAACTGTTTAACCATTAATTGCTGGCTTATCATCAAACCAATCGGGAATTGATTAAAGCTCGAATTGGCAGCAGCACATCTAAGCACATATTTATAGATACTCGTGATCGGTTCGCTGCTCCTTTATCTAAATAACAAACCTGTTTTGAAATCTAATTGATCTTCGTACGGATTATAACGAATATCTGCTGTTAACAAAACTAGAGTTGATGGGATCCTTATCAGGAAAGACTCTCCGTTCAAGACGACAAATCCACTCTAGTGACATCTCTGCATATATTTCGAGTCTTTGGATACCCCCCTTTTTTACCCACCAAGGCAGTCCACGTTTTTCGAGAGTTATGTCTTTGCTAGGCTACGTTATATCGTTAAGTAAAAAATAACAAAGCCTAATAAAACAACTGCTAAGTTTAAAAAGTGGGAAGCATGCGTACGTAAAACAAACTAAACTAATCTAAACTAATTGCGATCACAAATCCAAGAAACTAAGTTATTGCTACTCATTTTCGTGCACAACTACAACACAAGCAATGAACGAATGCAATATACAAATCGAATTACAAGAAATTGCAGGGACATTATGCTACTCCCTTTTTTTAATAACTCGTAACCGACGTGCTAAAACTATCAGAAAAATCAGGAAATGTTCTCAATAATGATTAAAGCATACACTTTATGCTTTCGCGGACAGTATGTTCAATAAAAATATTGTCTATAAGCCACCGTAAAGTTCTCTCAAGAATACAATCTGTATGTTTATATAAAGTCTTAGTTCCCTCCCGCTGTTGGCAATTGCAATCGATTTTTTATCTTCCTCTTTTTTTTGATATAAAAGAAAATATATAAAGCTTCGTAAAACTGAATTACGAAACATGAAAATAATCGACTTTTTACATAATATTCGTCATGACGCAGTTGGTACGAGGCTCATTCCCGATAGCCATTGTGCAGTGTTTGAGACTGGGAACTTGAATTTTTTCAATCGGTCGCATTCTTGGCGCAAGACATGTCAGTGAAATTTCAGTGAGATTTCATCGTAAGAGATTAAAAATTTGCGGTCTGTCGACTAAACACCAAAAAAAAAAAAAGGAAACGAGCAGATGGACAGACGGGCTTAGGTCGACTCGAAATGCGATTAAGAAGTGTTTTTGTGAGAATTTTCAATTTTTGTTCAGTTTTTCTAATAATTTTGTTATTGGCCTAATATCAATGTCCAATTATCAGCTATCTTAAAAAGAGCGAGAACCAAGTGGAGAAAGCCCACTTTTTAACAAAACCAAAGATGTAACATGTACGAACAGTGGACTAACTTCACGTCAATCACTTTTCGGAGGTTTTCCAAAATCGAAAAGTAACAGTATGTATAGCAAAACTAAATTACTGTTTTTACTCAGCCCAGTGAATCAGTCATCTGCTACTGATTCGGTGAATTCTTGAAGAAAAAGAAATAAATAAATTTTTTGTTGCCCTTGGATATGTCATTTAATTTTTTCTTTTCTGTTTTTTTTTCGTCATTTGCAATTTAACCGAATGTATGGTAATTTAAAAATATTAGCGTCGACATTTTTCTATGAAATCATGCCTTGATCTAATGTAAATTTTTCTATATATTTGACACCAAGATAGTGCGACATATTCGAAGCGCATATATTTTAAATTGTATAGAGTTTCCTTTATTTGCACATTCTATTCAAATTTACCGTAAGCTTGCTAACAGAGCATCACACTTTCCTGTTGATAAACAAGTTGTCAAAATCGAAAAAAAGGTTACTATGTAAAAAAACTGTTATAGGTAAGTTGCACTTAACCTTAAAGTTGCGCTTTAAGTTGAAGCTCTCTTGATAGCCGATTTTTAAGCTTTAATGGAATGAGCTTTATCAAGTGTTGAAGAGAAGAAAAGCTTTTGCACAAAGCTTAAATGTGAAGTCGACCTCTATAACGCGAAAACCAAACTAAAAGCCAAGCATTCTCAATTGAAATATTTTTTTTATTATTTTGTCTTTTTAATACAAGTATTCTTGTATACGATTACATTTTAACCGTAAATAAATCAAGCATAAACGAGTTTGATTTTGATTTTTCGAAAAGAATATTATGACATTGAAATTTTTGAGTAAAAAGAGCTTTTGCAGCGTAATAATGGAAAATAATTTAATACATAAAATTGCACAAAAATAAACGATGCCTTGGAAATATAAGTTGTAATATTTTCTCTTAAATATAAACCTGAATTGAAGAAACTATGGAAGTAATTTACACTGTACTGATGCACTGTCTTAAATAATATAAGCTTTTTCGCATTGACCCTGTTCTCACGGCACGCTTATTAACGATACTATTAATATACCAGATTTTGATTTCTTTACCGTCTTAACTAATTAAATTTAAGTTAACCTTTGACACAGAACAATTGCACAATCTCGATTAAAACACATAACATAAATAAATTCCAGATATAAAGAATATTAAAAAGCCATTTATAAACTTTTTCAAGCAATATTGTAAATATTTTTAGAAAAGTTTAGAGATTTGTTTCTTAAATTTTTACCCGCATATATATTTCCATACATATATATATATATATATATACGCGCGTTAACTTATCTCTTTTGTTTGACATTTATGCATTTACACTTCTGCTGATGGATGGTATAATTATATCCAGCAATGCAGATTGATGGTATCCTAGATACGTTATTGATAGAACAAATAGAGATCTGACGTAATTGACGATTACCTGCCAAAAGTTTTAAAATATACATAATCTATCTATTCTTAAAACATTGCAATTTAATCACTGTGCACAAGTTCACCACAAGTGTTAGAGCAAAACTGGCCACGAACACGGCTACAATTGCCACCAATTGTAACTTATCACTTACCGTAGATACACGTTGAAAAGAAAAAATTCTTATAAAAACATAAATCAAACGCTATCTAAAAAGAACTTAGGCTAAATGCGCCCAACTGAAAGTTCTGTAATTAAAGAAACATTTTATAATATTCATAAAGGTATATGGGTCTATTGTAGTGGTGGGTATGAAGGGTTCGTTTCACTCATAAATTCTCTATCAGTTGATGATGGCCTTTTACAATGCCTTTTGCAATGTTTTACAATTTGCTTTTCCAAGGGTAAGGGTATCGTGTCAAGCAAGTTTCGTGATTTTTATAATTTTTATTGATAGTCAAAACAAATTGCTCATGTCAATTGACTTATTGAAAAAGGATATGCGTTAGAATGCTGCCGAAATCAAAAGTTTTCCGAATGAACTTTAACACAAACTATATGGATTTTCAAACACATTTGTCTGCTTCTTAATGGCATTCATGGGCGTTAATATTTGAAAAAATCCATTATTGCGCTGTATACAACTCCCACAAGGAAATAAAATAGATCCACCTTTTATTACACCCATCGATTCAGGATCCCACCGTTTGCATCCATTTAAGCTTCTGCTGTCTGTCTGTCGGAATGTCTTCTTTTCCTATATTCAACCTAAAGGTCGTAATTTTTGATATGTTTTGGTAAAATACGGTACATCGGCGTGTCTTTGTCCAAGGACGAACAGTATTGAAAATAATTCGGATCGAACCAGTTTTTCGAGCACTCTCCAACAAAGCCTTATTGATAACTTTATTAAGCGAAATGGGATAGGTTTATGGTACGCCATATCTCACTATAGTGTTTTCACTTGTTTTTAAAGTAAGTTCAATAATTCTAAGGATTGGCATGAAGGCACATAAAGATGAACATTAATCTCTACCTTGACGATATTATTTTGCTTTATTGTCTTTTTTATTCCAAGTGTACCGACCAAATATACACCATACGAACCTTTATTAGTGTATCATGCCATAAGAATTGTATTCCCTTTATTGAAAGAATAATTTAATATCAAATTTTTCTTCTTTTTATTCATAATAGTAATTATAATTTAAAACATATCTAAACGTATATATATACGACTAAGGACTTGAAGAGATTAAAAAGATTACAATTGTCAAAGAAAAAAGACAAAAAGAAGAAATCTCGTTACCGATCTTTTACGTCTCAGCGTTGAAGCAGGAGAATTGGTCCTAAGTGGTCGTTTAAGAGTTAATAAAGTCGTTCTATAGGACGTGTAATCGCAGAGCGAAGAAAGAGAAAATCATAATATGCAAATAGTCTGCTGAGATAAATAAAATTTTTAAAAGCAGTCTTTTGTCTGAGATTCTCTACAGTACAGTAAATATGCTACTATGGTACAATTTTATTAATAGTTTCGAATAATAAAAAAAAGGAAAATTTTGCATATAATTTATTTAGAAGCAATGAAATAATATTAAGTCAACATATTTAAAAGAAATTGTTACTATCAAAAATGATATGAAAAAAAAAATGAAGCAAAAAACATGCACGAAAATTATATTCGACTAAGTGTTTGTACACCCGTTGGTTTTATTTCACAAGCAAGACTTAAAAACAAAAATTAAATTTCGATAGTCTAGCTTGTTGGATTTGTGTGGGGAATTTTGCGGTGCTTCGGTTGTTTTTTTTCAAACAAAACTGTTCTCTATATTTTTTTTTAATTTGGGCCTATCCTTCGATCGATTTGGTTCATTTTCAATTTTTCCATACGGACGGACATAGACGCCTTCACCGATTCAAAATTTGGTAGTGAATAGTGGCGTGTCTGAAGCTTCTTTGTGGCTGCCATAAAGGTTTAGATAAAATGCACACATCGCCAACCTTTGGCTGTGGGTATAAAAAATGGCAACGTAGTACCATATAATTATTTCATTAGGATAACAATTTTAAAGGATTCAGTTATATCGGCCCTATATCCAGGATTGATTTTTTTAACTTATAAAATTAAAACTTACCTGGCTCTTGAATATTTCCTAGTGGACTTTCCGGCAATAAAATACCTTTCTGTACAAGTTCTTCACGATTGGCACGTACTGAAATTTTACGTTCAAGGGCTGCAATCGAAATGAAATACCGTTAAAACAAAACTAGAGAATACCGTTATTCTTCCCTTTCTTTTTTTTTTTGTGAATATATGTATTGTGTTTATATATGCAACTTACATTTTGAGGCAGCTTCGAATTTTTCGCTTTTCTTTTTTCGCCGCCATTTCCACGGTTTGAAGAAACGCCCTAAAGCACTTAATTTACTTTTACGTTCCAAAGGTGGTGTACGTGTGCCAGAGCCCAAACTATTTGTACGCAGTGCAGCACCGTTTTGTTTTTTAGCTGAAAATCATTAAATAAAAAAGAGAAATTAAAATTTGCATGAAACACTTTAAAAATAAAATCTAAAATTACTCGAAGAGAATTCTAATTTTTTTGATAGTCGTACTATAACTTGCCGCAAAAAAATATTTGCTTAAATAAAGCAATAAATTAAAACGAAATGTAATTATAATTATAAATTACTTATTTATTGTCAAGACATTTTGTAAACAAATTTACAAAGTACGGATTTAAAGGCTGCCGGATAACTTAGATCATATTGCTCGCCTGTAGTGAAAATCGTACCTGAGTATTTGGTTGCGATCTCTTGCCTATTCGGCTATTCATGCGGATAAATACTAAATAATAATAAATAATAACTTATTATTTTGAATAAATCCTAAATGAAAAATACGTGGTAATTATTAATTCAATGTAAACAATATTGTGCTCGATAACCTTCTGTTGGCTCTCCAGTGACTTTGCGAGTCCTTCATCATAAAATCTTTCTGATTTCAAATAGGTTATGGTGCATAGTTTTCACGAGCCTATCTTTGATTATTAAAATTAATATCTGGTAGAAAGTTTTGTAGAGACCATCTCTAGATACCATGATCTAAATTGGTTAAATCCTTAGCCATTGAGAGTTTATGAGAACTAACGTTACGACGATAGTGAGAGACATCTTTCATGTAGATGAACTGAACGGTTTCCTCTTAATTTGACTTGAATTTGAAGTAGAACAAGATGTATTCAGCTTTGGTAACAGCCTTCAATCGCAATGAATGCTTACTATGACCTTTGAAGGCCTTTTTGTAGGATTTAACATAGACTGTATAGATTCAATTAGCTCGAAAGCGTCAAGTTTAGTTTGCACATAAACTTACTCGATCGAAAAAGTCTCTTTCACTTGTTGCAACTCTGGTTTATAACTAAAGCTATCCATTTATATTGTAGGAGCAGTAAATGCGTCTAACAAATGAATTCAAAGCAACACAACAACGAGTAATTGTTAATATTTTTCGATGAAACTTAGTCCGAGATAATGGTGAACATACTTTGCTAAGTTTGGATTGCGCAGATCCATTCTTTCAAAGATCCAAATATAGTCGTGACAGGAAAGCATTTATATAGCAACGGGGTTTGATTTTTTTATATTCTATTAATTAACTTCACTAGCTTTGCGACAAGTAACAATTTTTTTTTTTGTCAATATTCATTACCTGGACAGGTTCCAACAACGAGGAAAGGCAAATTTGGGCAAATTTGTTTGATATAATTTAATATATGAGAGAAATAAAGCCTAACCATAAGGAGATTTACATTTGAAGATCCCTAAAAATGTAAACTATGCCCATTGTGCAGTTATTCATTATTATTTTTTACTGGGAAAAAGATTCATTTTCATTCACTTTCAGTGGCGCAGTCTATAAATACAGTTCCAAATATATTTAACCTATAAACAACATTTGTATAGATGCGTTTGTAAGTTTTCTAAGCTTAAAATAAAAGATTAACTCTGTTCAAATTGTATTTCCGGTTTACCCAAAATCCCAAATGTATAGATAAACAAACATTCACATGTTCATTGAATTGTTTAAGTTTGAATAGCACACTAACTGATTGACTGACTGACTTTTCTATGTATATAATATTATTATTAAAATATAACAAGTAATTGTGCCAACAATATTCAACTAAATGTGATGTGAAAATGGATAAAAACGCGCGCGCGTACGCACGCAAACAAATGTATGTGCTATGCACATACGCATCTTATATTCGTTTATATTAGTTTGGGGAAAAAGAAATCCATTATTTTTATATGAACTTCAGGACTTTATGTAACATGCTTCGGATTGTCCGATTTGGGTCAAATAGGCACCGTTTTGTTGTACGATTTGTTGCCATTTTAAAGGTAACTTCAAAAGGCCTCTCTCATAGAAGTCCTGGCCTCTATTTGCAAAAAACTCTAGTA